TATTATTATCTCGTGGCGAGAGGCGTTGTCGATTTGTACAACGAGATTTTAATTCACCATTCCATACCTTCCATAGGTCCGTATGCAGTATTTATATATGTATATTTGCCTGGTGTCAATTTGAAGCGTCGTATAAATTATTCACTAATAAAATACTGATCAGAGACCAATACAAGAGGGACGTGTTTGGGAGAAGTTGGTGAACTGTGAAATTTATAGATGAGGTACTTGGATAAGTTTCGAGCAACGTATCCATCACTCTTTGTCTTAAAAGAAACTAAGAAAAAGAGAAACGAGGTGGACGAAAGTAGAGATGGATCAGGTGTCCCTAAGAAACATACGTTTGCTTACGGACGCTGAGGAAACTTCTCTCATCTGGTTGGACCAGATTAGATTGAGAAAAACGTTGCTGCGAGAATTAATGATCCCAGATTTATCGGAAAAACGATATTTGACTGGCAAAGAGACACTGAGACGGAAGAAGCTCAAAATGCAATTGCAGCATCCAGAATGAATACTGATGAGTACGGTGTTACGTCAATGGTATAACTGTACTGAAAACTCGAGAGACCCTTATCAGAAATAAAATGACGGAGATTGAATATTGCATAAGACAGTATAGTATATTCTAAGTAAATATATTTGATGGATCAATACAATTTTTAATGTAAGTATATAGAAGTTTTGCTATTAAAAGAAAAATATTTATTTTATAGGATAGCGAATGCTCGTTGATTATTTTTTATTATTTTTTTTTCATCGTATCCCATATTGTTCCTCTGTTTTGTTATATCGATTCATACCTGAAAATCCGAATGGCTGACTCTTTCATGCCATCCGAACTCTTGATTGCCCCTTTGTTTATAATGCACTGAATGGCAGTTTGGATAGATGGCTTACTGTGCAGTCTGACTGCGATTCTCATCCAATTATTCCTCCTCTCATTCAATTATAAGCCTCGAAGCTGCGAATTTCTATTTTTCTTTGTTTCAATCGCAATTCTTTTTTTTAGGTTGATGCAATAGAAAATTATCTGACGGTGCGAACGGTTCGATTAAAAATTATTACTTGAAAATTAAAAAAAATGTTTTATGCGATTTTTGAAAATCTAAAAAAAAGTCATGACTAAATGACTTTGTCTTTTGTACAGCATTAATATATTGTCATCGTTTCTAGAGTTGTCAAATACAATAGACTTTTTTTTCCTAATTTATCTATACGCAAGCAAAAATGAGTACTATCACTAATAATCCAGCTTCCAAGCGTCGTTAATCAGAAATCAGTAGTATCGATGATATCAAAATAAACAAATGAAACCTGATAAATGAATAATCAGAATTTCAAACACAAACAAAATCATATCAATCCATAAATATTCCTGCGACATAATAAATAGCGTTATCAGTATTTAAAAAAATTGAAAGTACAAAACACTTTATCCAGAGTAAACAGATTAATTCGATGTTAGCATTTTGAATGTGCACATTCTCCCTAACACAACGCTAATTATTCAGATATGTCATTACACTGTAAATCTTGACACATTGTTTCCCAAAATGCTCTCAACTCGTTCGATAGACATAATAAATAATACGAGTCACGAATATCCAGCAGCAATGAACTACATAAATTCCTGCTCGCTACAAGAAAAACCCCCGTCCCCTGCGCCCATAACAAAATTTAAAAAAGTCAAAATTAATAATCATAATTTTCTCCAAAATTATCATATCATCAAAATAAATGGCCTCCATAATTTTCCCTATACGAAGTTCTGCACGCGACCTCTCTATATATATATATATCCACGTACAGAAAACCGTCACGACGCAAGGGTGGATAGTGTCGTAGGTCGGGTCATCGGACCACAAAGGCACAGCAGTCAGGGCGTCGGCGTCGGCGTCGAGTAAGAGCGCCGACGGAGACAGTAGCTAAAGCAGGAGGAAGCATAGGTGGAAATAGGGCTGGAACCTGGAGCTTCCATAGGCTCCATACACGTTGAAAGCCTGTCCTTGCATTCCTTGGTAACCTCGTTACGTCACCCACTCAACTTAACCACTACATTGCATGCACGAATTTCGAGGATACGAGTAATCTCTCTTGCCGACGGGGACGTTGCTGCTGCCGTTGCTGATCATGACAAGAGTGCGTTCTACGTCTCTATAGTTACCTTTAAGTATGCTAGAATCCCTAATAGGCACAATTGCATACAGGCACACTTGCCAAATTCATTAGACTATAAACACTGCATATAGTATATTCAGTACTGTAGAGTCATGACAAAAATTTTCTTTGGATTATTTATACATTTCGTTACGGTCACTATACCCTTGTGGCGTCTACTGTATTAACAGGGACGGGAGAGTAAGTTAGTGAGGGTTTTATGTACCCTTGACGTATTTATTTTGTCAAGATTTGAGGGTTATTCTGTGTAGGATTAATTTTGAGACTGTTGGGTGGATATATTGTACGCTTTTTTTATTCATTTATGTTTGTCGAGCAACCCCTGTCTATCTTGGTCTGGGAAGGATTGGGTACTTCGATGCCGACAACCACTGTACCGTTGTCGATAGTACAACCGCTATGATGCACGGGAACGATGCAAGTTGCAAGGCACTTGCTTCTGTCTGCCTGCGTCCCCACAAAGTTACATCTCGCAAATTGCGTTTGTCAACAGCGGCTAATTGCCGTCGGGAATATTGTTCAACTATGAAGTGACTCATAATTAGCGTGATGCAGCCACCAGGAATTGAATTATTTGACGCGTGTAAACAGGCAAGTCACAATTCATTGGTTTTCCTTGAATTTATAAATTTTGATAATTTTTTATTTTTTATTCTTTTTCTTTTACAATATTTATCGCGCCCTCGCTCGTTCTGGGATGATCATACATTTTTCTGGTTAGCGATATACACGGGAGGTGATTCAATCCCGAACCATGATGTATGCACTTCACGTTAGAAAATTCTCCATGGATTTGGCCAACGCTAAGGAGAAATTTTTATACCGACATAAAATACTGCGCGGCGATTCAAGCTCGTTTACTCGCTGATACGGAAAAGCTGGATAGTATCTGGCGAGAGAGCCAAGATACTTCCCAGAAGCCAGAATTCTGGTTCCCGTGGCTCGTTAAACTCACTCCAGCATCCATGCTACATGCCAAGTGCATACCTTCAAAATGGCAGGCTATCGCCGACTGGCCTATTACCTATTCCGCATGAAAATAGTCATAAGTGCTTTCTATACTTTCGAAAATATTTTATCAAAAATACCAACAGTTTCTCTACAGATATCCAAATCAAAATACGTTCAAAGTTTTAAAAAGAAAAACATATTTCTCATGGAAAACCGAGACAGTTTCAAACTTTTTTTTTTATTTTCGTTATAAAAATCTAATTATTTTACAGGTAACATTCTTTCTCTTACCAATTGCCTCTGCACGTACCTTCCTACGTGTTGGAGGCAGTCAAGACTTTACGCCTCTACGTTGTTCCAGACCGAATTACGTTTTCAGCTTTACATGCCAAGTCGAAACGTTACAAGGTGTGCAGCATTGCAAACTGGCCTATTACCTATACCCACCAGCTATCCTACCGAGATATTTTATGGAGCAGTTTCGTGGTAATGAAGGTGTTTACATGCGGACAAGAAGGCGTCCCAGGGAGCGCTAGGTAATTAGGCCACCCTCATCTTCCCACTGAGATAGTCATTGGGGCGGTGGGAGGGCGGGAGGGGAGGAGAAGATACACCCCTTGGTTACAAGAGGAAGCACTCATTGTTTTGGATGTTGAAATTGGCGCTGCATTAAGAGTAATTAGCGTTATCGTATCTGGATTTATACATACGAGTATATATGTACATATATTGATGTATGAGGATGGCCATATATATGAGGCCATATATATGAGGATGGATTGTGTAATGTTACAGGTGCAAGTAACAGAGTAGTTTACTCAGAGTAAAAATATAAGTAAAATCTGTGTACTATCTAATTGCATCCAAGAAACTATAGTATCGGTGCACGTGATTGTTGGGACTTGCCGAAAGTCCTTATAGCGTTCCGAAAATTCATGTAATTTATACAATTACAGCATCCCCAGGCTATGATAACGGAAGCTGCGCCATCTTGCTTTATTTCTCTCGTTTCATTTTCACGACGCCGTATTTGATTTGACTTTTGATTATTCACCGAGAGAATACGTGTTTCATGGTATAATTATAGATTGGCTAGGTTACTCTCAGTTTTCTCTGCCACTGTGCATCGATCAAGATCCAACAGTAAAATAACGCTGCGCCGGAAGATTAATCGATGTCGTTAACATGTGAGACTTGCGTATTGCTGTTTTATTTGGATTCGGGGCTTGCGCTTAATCAAGGTGTTGCGGCGACACGGAAGCAGTCAGTTTGCCAAAGAGCAAAGGGCTTAATTAAGGGAGGAAAATTGAACTGACGTAAAATTAAGGGAAGAAAATTTGAACTGACGTAAAATGTCTAATAAAAATTTAGTGTTCTTGTAAAATTAGTAAAAAAAAATTTCGATGTTATTTTTTGGTCTTATGCTGGGAATACCGTATATATATAGTTTCCTTGGAAGAGATGCCGGAATCTTTTTTCTAACCTTAGCTCTGACAGCCGATTGAAGGTCTTCTGGTCTGACTTGGATTGGGAACTGGGTTTTCGACACAGAGAATAAGAAACTGGTAACTGGGAAATGGTAACTGGGCCCGGGTGTTCCCTTGGGATCTGGCTTGGCTCTCATGTGCTACAGGGCCGTCTCCGTGGCGCGATCTATCGCCCCATTGACCACCACTCCATTATCAGGATAGTAACGCCGTAACCCCACGTTCACCCGAGCAACCCCCGTGGCAGCAGCCACCCTTTCATCCGACCCCGTGCTATCCTCATAGCCGGCTTTTGTTAGTTTATCGGAGACCTAGGTAACGAAAGATTGCAAGCTTGACCTTTGACCCCGACGGGAAGAAGGAATTTTGGTTTTTCATGGCAACCTTTAAGTATTTTATTGGATACAGTCTTGATTTAAAAAAAAATCGTACTCGATAATGCCTGATATCAGTGTCTGTTCGTGTGATACTCATTTATTGGATTCTAATCAATTAAATAATCAGCCACGTAGATATTAATTTTTTTTAACGATGGCACACCTGCTCAACAAATAAGTATTAACTTGTCAGACGTTCCAAGATAATAGAGACATCGACTTGATAGTTGTGACGAATAAATTGTATCTTTCTAATCTGATATGCCAATTTTTTATGATTACGTAATTTTTTTTTATTAACCACACACTGATGCAATTCTCGATAATTATTAGAAGCTATTATCACAACTTTCATATTTATATATGTAGAATACGAAAGTACTAGGCTTTTATAGGAATATCAATAGCCTCGTTATTGGTGACTTGTAGAAAAATATGAAATAACTAATCAGAGATATATTTAACGCGACTGTAGCGCACGAGTCGTAGATGTGTTGTTGCATTATCACTTTAATAAATGGTGGTCAATCTTTGCTTAAAAAAAAAAAAGTAAAGAATTGATTTGAAGTAACAAAATTAAAAAAGAAAACGTTTCTCTGTGAACAATCGATCGATATTAAAAATCATCGATTTTTTTTTTCCTATCTTCATAGGCAGTATGTCCAAATCATTTGAGTCGGCGAGCACCGCTGTATTAAAATCGTACTACCTGTTCTTCTTGCATTATAACGCTTGTTGGAGAATCTTAACGTTAATCTGATTATTTGAATTTCTTCAGGCTCGAATCGTTTTTCGATAAACTGTATACGAGGTTGTTTTCCCGATAAGCCAATGGATTTTCCGATTCTCGTTCCTCGATATCAGCCTTGATCTCGTCCTCGGTGGCTTCTGTTATTTTCTTTCCTTTTCCATAAAAAGTGTCCTCCCTATAGATGCAATCCTTCTGTCTGATTGTACCGTGTATCTGTTGATTGTAATGTCAATATAGTCAATTGATAAGAATCGAATATATTTACATTAATTGGTTGGTTAATTTCGATGTTCGAGAAATTTATTCGTTAACCTTATCAGGAGACCTTTGAATATACTTTTCATCAAAACCCCTAGTCTGTCCAGCTGATTTTAACATTAATATAAATTTTTGGCAAAACCTTTTTAAATCTGCGTGATGTAATTTTTATGTAAAAAGTAACTGAAAAAAATATCCGAATACCTTGTCCCAGATGAAGCAATTAAATCCGAAATTCACATGGAAATACTGGTGATGATTGTCATGGAAAATTGCATCCGGCTGCCATGGTTGCCACCAGTAAGCTTTGAAATTAATTCCAGAATGATCAATAATTCCGTGATAATAATTGTATACGGCAATTACGCAATACGGTACTGAAACGAAAACGAAACCTAGAGATTATCGATGCATTTATATCATTTAGCCCTTTTAATAAAAGCAGCAACTATTCTGCGCTATTCTAATACTAGCAAAACATATTAAATTTTATTGGACTGAAAATTGAAATTCAATTCGGCATTGGTCGTAAATTATAATCTAACGTTAATTTCTACTGGATGTGACGATTTACAAAGGATAATATATCCACGTCAATCAGTCGAGATAATATCATGCACGATAAGACCGTGTCTGATAACCATATTACTGATTATGATTGTACTATCCTATGTCAGTTATTTATAATTAATATTTAAAATAAACATGTCTTCCTAATAATGCAAAATAATTCCAACGAATACCAAGAACGCAACAATTTTCTATTTCTAGATAGAAATAAGCATTGCTTAGTTTTTCAAATTTTTGCATTTTCTATTAGTTGTCAGATAAATAAGTAGAGACGAAAGAAAATTTATAAGATAAGAAAAAATATTTACTCACCCCAATGAATGGGCATTAAGAATAAGGGTAAACACAATATTATCTGTATGTGTAAAATCTCAACAGGATGAATGGCGGTAACGGAGAAGGCGGTAGGGTGCTTATACGTATGATGCAATTTATGAAAATTCTTATAGAACCAAGGTGTATGGTAGAGACGATGAATCCAATACGTAGCGTAATCCTGAAACAAAATAAAAAATACTTTATTCCAATTTATTCCCACTCGTTCTCGTTACACGGCAAGAAAAATCTTTTCAATCCGACACATGGAAATCCGCCAGATCCATCGAGACGTCACTTCCTGTCGCTGGAAAGTATTGCATTGTTTTCAGAGTACGGCGATACTGAACCAAGGCACAAATCATTCTGTGAAAAATAAAAGTATCCTGAAATACACTAGTAAGGTAGCAGGACTTCGGGCGTGGACACTCTGTAAGAAATCATATTCTTGTCTCTCTCGTACACGTTGTTCGCCCATAAGGATGTCCATGACTGGTACATTGCTCATTATTGGGTGCCTAATTTCTATTTCTTAAGATCTTAATTTCATAAAATAACATGGGATTCTGAGTCTAAACCAGTGGCGTAGGAGCTCCCACGACACTCGCCACAATTTTAACCCACAAGCCAGTGGAGAATCTGACGAAGGAGTTACACGATTGAATTACATGGCTCGTACGTGTCATTTAGTAGACATATATGGTGCTTGAATGTGTGCAACGGAAGAACGGGAACCACGAGGTCCGAGACTCGAGGAAAACCATTTCCCTTTCTTGAATCTACCGTAGTAATTCTACCCCTTTGAAATTCCCAGTGACTCTCTGGTACGACGTAAGTACTCGTCTGTGTACTTGCTCCTTGTATATGCACTACGTGCATCCAATTACGTAAAAGGAGATCACGATGGGATATAGTGGGCGATGAAATATTTGTTTTGAAAATTAACAATCTTTTTTATAATCTACACAAGGTTTTACGTTAAATCGAAAAACACGTGATTATATTTTTTTACGTAGTGTATCTTACTCCTCTTATGACAAATAGACTTTACTCGGTTGCGAAGGCTTTACGATTATGTTGTTAATGAACATAGCAGCCATGAATAATTAAATTAAATTTCACATGAGTTTTGCCCCCTATAAAATCATATTAAAACCTACAATTAAATTGAGTATACGTCAGTTTTACGAATTTTCGATAGCTTACACGAATCACTAATTTAATTAGCCCTCGAAATTCTATAAAAAAAAAAGAATCACATATCCTTCGAAATATAATAAAAATGCAAATACATTATTAAATGTCATTATTTTGCTTCAAACTTCAAGGATACCTCGAATTTGCAAAATAAATATGAAAAACCCCTTACTAATTACCATAAGCAAATTAGCCAAATTTACCTTTGCTCTTAGTTGCAATTATTTTTATTTAGAAATTGTCGAAAAACTATGTCTGAATTCGATATGTTTAATTGTCGATAACGTGTACGGGAGCATTTCGGGGTGCTGCGTAAATTCGCTATAAGAATTCGCACATACGAAGTCACTGCGAAAGGCGCCACCACATATTTGGCAAATTTTTGTAAGCTCCTATTCGACCAAATTGGAATTCGATTGAAGCAATCCCATCCCGTCACCGATACGGTTTCAAATAATTGGAATATTACTTTCGGGAATTAGAATCCATTCGATGGAAATTTTTATCGTTGTCAATTATTATACAGTTGCGTAATATCCTGCGATACCAATCAAACGAAATGGTTAAAACAGTGTAATACTAATATTGGCGACGTAACAGCATTTCACGTTGTAACGATTAAATCTCATGTTTCCTATAAAAATTTTATCCCAGCAGCACGAATAAATTCGCAGCATCCCGGGTCCAGTATCAAAGAACCACCATTTCACGCGCGCATCGTTACTTCAATTACAACAAATACGATTCTTGCTATTTCCAAAGAGCTCGCCGCTCCCCGCTCCGTCTCTTCAACCCCCTATTATTTGTTGGCAGAACTCAACACGCGGATCACGTAACTCGCGAAATCTCAACAGAGACGCGGCCGAAGTACATGAAGTTGCCTGAGCGTTTCAGATGGGAATAGCGTCACCATTCGGTACCTGGAGGAGTTGCTTCTTTAAAGAATTCGCTGAAAGGAAGGACACTATCGGTTCGAGTGGAAAGCGAGGAATGGCGAAGAATTTTCAAAGGATCACAAATACCCGAGTGAAAATCGATTCGATTCCGGTTGAATTTTATTAAAAAGCGAAAGAAAATCCTTCCGGAGGATGTAATACTGTATTTTTACGTTCTGGGTATACATATATATCAGAATGAAGACGTTGATATCGGAATAAAGATAAGGTGTAGGTAGAAGCATAAAGTGCTGTAAGACAATTTCTATATGCGGATATATATGTATATATAGAGATAAAATTTCGTTTTTACTACACTGATATAAAAATTTGCCAAAAAAAATCTATATGTTAAAAAATGATTTTTATCAATCATGAAAAAATTGGTATTCAACGAAAAACCCGCAGTATCGTATGAAACCCATGATAACAGATAAATAAATAAACCTCGTTCGATTAAGTTCATTCAACTGCACTATACGTAAATTAAGTATGTGACGATTGATTCAAAAACCAAACAAAACATTGCTTTAATTATTTAATACGTATTGAAGGGTATACATATACATTATAGGTATATACGTTGTTCTTAAAGCTTAATCGCAGAATTAAGCCAAATCGATTAAATTGTTTTTCTACTTTGCCAAACGTTTTTCTCAGTAGCCAATTATATACCGGCACGTGAACCACCTACGAGCTTTTATTCTCCATTTTTGTTACTTCGAGACAAGCCCGCTAAATAAACATTGATTTTTCAGTAGAGCAAAAGACTCGACGGACGTAGAGATTGATACGTTCAGACGGGCAAGAAGATCAGCATCCGTTTTTTTTATTCTCGCGTAAACGAATACAATCCTCTTTTCTTTTTTCTCTTTCATCATTCTTCAAATGTCCTCTCGTATATCTCCCGAGATCGAAAGTGACTCGCAGCCATTTAGCCAGAAGAATCTCAAGGGAGATGACATCTACTTGCATACCAAAAGTATTTCTAACGGATAACTGTAACACGCGATATTTTTATTTCACTCTGGTTTTAAGAGCAACAAACGATTCCAAGGAATTGGCTTGCAATCTCAAATAGGACGCAGCTGGTAAAATCGATTGGAAATCAACTGGCAAACAGCTCAGAGCCCAGCACGTAGAATTGACAAACAGCTAAGAGGCTGGCACGTAGTTACAAAGTGAAAACTTTCGTACCTTATCAACCCCTAGGCTAAATATTTGTTTTCATCTTACCCCACGACAAGAGTCCTCGAGATAAAGAAGCGTGAAAGATATGGGAAATTTTTTAAAATAAATTTTTTTCTTAACGTTAACACTCACCAGGTAGATGAATATTATGGGCCACTGCAGGACAAAATATGCCCAGGAATATTCGTCGAATTTGTAGTACACGCTACAGGGACCACCGTTCGACATATAGCAGGCCAAACTGGCTGTGAACGTATTGGCCAACAGTAGACTGAACGATCCCACGATAATTTCATGTCTTTCCAATTCAGGCGTTAGCCACTTTTTCGGCTGGCATTTCCACTCGTCCGCTTTATCGCGCTGATGAACGTAAAAGTACCACTGAAAGGAAACACATGTGTTGGCAGTTCAATCTGCATCGTTTCAAAAATTCAATACCGGCTCGAAATATTCTCCATTACGGTAAACTCTTTTGCTCACGGAAAAAAAAAAAAAAAAAAAAAAAAAAAAAAATCATACTGAATTCAAAACTAGTTGTTCGGGAAGCACTGCACCGCGTGTATCGGTATCCACAAAAGCGTGTCGGTAGTCGCGAGCACGCAGTCGATTGCGACGCCGGACATTGCTAACAATGCCATTACTTTTTGTCAGAGTTTCCACATTGCCGAAAACCAATAGACCGTAATTTATTGCGTTAGCGTTTGTGCGCGCCATGAGTCGTTTAATGGTGCGAAACAATAAGCGATAGAAAACATAAAGTTTATCCCTTGAAATCGATTTATTCGATAAAAAACATTGCAACAATTTTATTCTAACCCCTGACTCACCTAATTTTATCGTAAAAATTCAATTTTACGTTACACTCGTCTTTACTTACGTGAAGAAAACCTCCGATTCCGAAATACATGCAATATGCGACGGTACAGGCTACTATGCAGTACCACGAGAGATTTTCAAGGTAAAAACTTTTGAGGGAAAGTTCAGCCCAGTTAACAGTGGTAGAACTGTTGTTTGACGCAGTGTCGTTTTCGGTACTGTATCCAAGATGTTTGGCAAAATGTACGACGACGAGAAGCCATTCGCCTGTTTAACATAAATATTTTTAATACATAGAAATTAATGATAACCCAATGATAAACGATGACGTATGATTTATTAGTATCATTTCAACAAACTGTTTAATCGTCAATCTTAATTATAAAATTTAAATGATTAATTGTCTCAACTCAATAGATAGTCACGATTCATGCTGTTTACTTTAGATAGCTATTGTTCGCATTTCTTTCAATCCTACGTCACTGCTCGGAATCGATCATGAAATTTTCAATGACACTGCTCGATACACGCGAATTTGTTTTTCAAGATATTACTTAACAAGTCAACTTGTTTACGTATTGCTTTCCTTGACTTTGTGGAGTTTCAACGTTGACGTCGCATTACTGAGCATTCTAGGGTGGGTAAACTTGACAAAGTTCTCCATCAAAGTGTTTCATATACTATATATATGTATATATATCGATATTTATCCTTTATTTCCAATACCTTCATTCTAAGCTAACGATAACGACCATTCGCAGAGCAATTTGCCACCCGAATGTCTTCCATAAAATAATCATAAGATTCTGCAGATATCCCAAACCTGAAAATGCTCAGCAATCCAAACACGTAAGAAACTAATACGTGTTTTTTTTTCGCAAAAAATTGCACGCATCATCTAGAAAAATTGTGCGACTCAGCGATACCGTTTACGCCGTAAATAGATATCGAGAAAAAGAAGTGATTGCAGTGTCATGAATGTTGAACAAAAAAAAATTCAAATTTCCCGCTCTTTGTGAATCTCAAAGTTTTATTTATTTCAATGAATAAAATAATCTCGAAAAACGAAAAATGTATATTATATATAATTACAATGATCTTGCTACCTGCAATTCAATAGTTTAGGATTTAGGTCATAATTCCATTACGTCGTGTATATTGTTATTGTTGAAAAAATAAAAAAGATAAATGCATACCGCGCATGGTGGCACCCAATAAAAATACAGCACACGTTGCTATAGCTGATCCAACAAAGTTCGGCATACGCGTCCAAATCTTTTCCATTTGATCACTGTATCTCTCGACCCAGGTGACAGCCATAGGGTCGTAAAAGGTGCGTTCGCCTTTTTTATTTTTCATGGTCTTTCCGGATTCTCCGGAAACCCGTTTGATATTCGGAGTCATTTTTTCATCCGATTTCATACTTCTGCCGATGTTGCACTAACGACTGATATTAAATAGGCTGCTTCGCACTGTCATTAACCACCGAACGTAGCATTTAATCGAAAATCACGCGGGTCCCAACTGTCCCGCGATTACGAATTTTTGAACGAAAAATCAGAGTGGACCACCCACGTGTCCCGACGGTTTAAAACAATTGTGGATCGCAGAAAGCTGAACGTCTGGGAGACGTGATTCGCGGTTAAGTGGTTATGAAGAATTAGGTGCAAAAAAATATTGCGATAATGAGAATAATACTGTGCTTATCAGATTGCAGTTATTGCTCTTGTTCGAGCAGATATAAATTTCTACAGGCGTATATTACATGAACAATGGTCCAACGTCCAAGAGATAAATTTTTATCTTGAGGTATTAAGACTCCACTTATAATCAGCATTGATATCGATTAGTATTAATAATTTTTGTTCGCAGTTTTATCACTGTGCGGATATATTCGAATTCTTTGTATATCGGAGCTTGACGCGAAGCACAGTCTCTTCACGTGGACAGGCGGAAAGCAAAGGTAAAGAAATTCTGCCTCTGTTCTTGACTGATTACTTCAGGATACCAGATATAAATAAGTTTGACTTCATAAATTAAACATTCGGTACAGATGCGAAAGCGAAATTCATATTTAACGATTCAGTTTAATCTAAATGACGAATCGTGGGAAGGATTAAATGATGACGTTAAAGAAAAAAAAAAGTAGACTTGTAAATTGACTGAGAGAATCGACGAAATACGAGTAAATAGTTGCTGCTGATAATTTACTAAATATATTTTTTTTTTTCATGTACCAACTATGTAATATACAATTATTTTTAACGATATATTTTTATACACCAAAATATATCAGCGATTTCGTTACATTGATCCTGTTACAATACGACGTATTCACTGATCAACTTCGTCCCGAGTAAACACATTTGACAAAATTTCTCAAATATATTCGAGAAAATATACGATTGATAAAGAAACGCGAACGCGACTGAACGCACGAACTCTTGTGCTATTGCCAACTCGCGAAATAATAAAATTCACGTCGGCCATTCAGCACTTATTGGCGATTCGCATTAAAGACTGAAGCTGGGACTACGTAGAGAGCGAAGTAAGAGATAAGAAAGATGTATGATTTTTCTTATCAAGCATGGTTCAATTACGTCTTCGGCTACAAGTACGAGACTATTAATAACATGTAGCATCTTATTATATGTTAATTTTAAAGTTTATCCATAGAATGGAGGGTTACGAACTTGATCGAATACACTCTTTACTTCGTTCTGGCTGTGAACCAAATTGCTGATTATACGTGAAAATTATGGTAATTTGAAAAAATATATATATTATACGATCATCGCCTGTTATCTGCTGTAAAACACGATACGTATTTCTGCCAACAGCTAGATATGTTTATCGACATTGCTTTACATTGTTGTTACTCTTTACCAACTGCAGGTTAGCAAAGCCATCAAATTCATGCTTATCAACATATGATTTCTTGAACAATGGTTGGTGAAGATAAATTTCCCTGTGTTAGATGTCAAACGAGCCTCAAATACTGGATAGTTTTTCAACGGAGTCGAATTGAGAGGTGAAATATATGTACTGTATACCTATACATTACTAAACTATAGGTATACATTTGATGTATCTTAACCCTTAGCTGGATCCTTTGTCTGTGATGACATAGCTGACGAGTGGGGCCATTGAAGACCCTAAAGAAAATTTAGTTATAAAATCAACTGTTTTTAATATTTTGGCTTGAAATTTTTTTGGTTATATCTTAATACATATTTTTTAAGATAAAACCTTCTGTAGATCGAGTTTTTTTCTGATTTTGAATTTGATTTCTGAGTCTGATTTTGAAATCCTGAATGTTCGAGAATCGCGATTGAAAAATAGCTGGGTCAAATTGACCCCATGGATCCAGCCAAGGGTTAACTATCATTTGACTCCGGTGGTAACGTAGTGGATAAAGTATGATCGAAAGTGCTGCCATCTGTGAGTGGAACTAGCTATTACTTCGTTAACCTGAGGTAAATTGTTCACAATCTATACTAGGCTAGCAGTATGGTATCAAATGCTATGCACTGAGCTATTTTATCTGCAATCGACAGTGTAAATACATTTTCCCCCATTTATCCCGTGCGTCGGTATATATTTCTACCTATTACCGACCGAGTAAGATGAATAGTTTTCTCAAAAAAAATGTCACCTTTCAAATAAAAGTTAATTACTTGACACGATTATGATGTCAGTTTATTAGGTTATCAATCATAATTAAATGTATATTTAAACCAAAAAATTTTAATAACTTTTTGTGTATTCAGAATATAAAAATACAAAAAGTACCATTTGATAATCATCTTTCCGAAAATTCTTATCGTTTCAGGACCGAATTTCTTATACGATTTCCAACATTTTTCATTAACAGACATAGCTAATGAGACCAATCACAGCGTTGTCCTCAACCCATCCAGACCCCTATAATAATAAAGATGATTTATGTTGCCGCACTGCGAGACGAATGAACTGATAATTACAAAGTTATCGATCGCCTCGGGCATAGGCCAGACACGAGGATCGCTCATTATCACAAAAGAAGCGAAAGGTGTTAACGAATCTATCAGCATCTTTATCTTCGCCTCGAATAGTCGCCCCCCAACAATAGAACACTATATAATATTCTTAGCCTACTAAAAACCATAACGCAAATTACAACAAATTTTTGCTTCGCTCTATTCGTCTCGTAAAAAGACAAAGGGACCAGACGATTCTATAAAAGAGAAAAAAAAAAGATGCAATCCAACACAGTCGAAAGAACGAATTCACAAAGGTCCGAAAATTGAGGCGCTGGTCCATTATCAAGAAACGAGCCGTTCGGGTCTTGATTAACATAGAAATTAACATAGCGTTAATATTAATGCCTGTTGCTCTCGAATTTTTTAAAATATTTATAAGGATCCAATTATCTCGTACGCGGGGTTAATTTATGTTATTACGGACTATCAATGAAAATAATTGCTTTATTAACATGACTAATGGCGAGTTTACATTCATAATGCATTCGGTGCTGACGCTGTGGATGCGCTCACCCAGCGGGAATTCCACTTAAACATTTATGTCATTACGCTTATGCTTTACGCCGAGTATGGTTCCTGTACTTCTCTATCACTCTTTAACATCTTGATGCACCCATCTTTCTCATTCCCACTACGTACCTTACAAGTAAAATACAATCAAGGACCCCAAAAAAAAAAGTCCCGTAATTATTTTCATTATTCTTGTTATTACCTAAGCATCTCACATATCATCCATGGGCCACGAGCCACGTACGGCCATGATGCATTGGCGTAGCTCATATTAAATATAATGGCTGTACGATGAAGTAGGCGCTCGTACGTCCTCTACCGGTTACACTGGTTTGCCGCGTAATATAAATCACCCGGGACATCCACGCCATTAATAAAGCTAAGCGGCGATGAGTCAAATCGTCCGATTATCATACGGACGCCGTGAATAATTTCACAGCTCTTATGACTTCTGTCGGTTTTGTTACGGGCGCGCGGTGGGCTAAATTATTAGCAGCCATTTGACCCAGCCAAAGCAGCAAACCGTCCAAGATCTCCGAGGTGGTTAATCATCGAAAGCCTTTTACACGATCTTCGTAGCAGCCGCGTCGCGTACTTAATTAATAGGATTTTCGTAATTGCGACCAATTCACTCCAGGCTCGTTAACGTGTAAAGTGGATTTGGACTCCTGAAATTCAGCGAATGTATTCTCTACTGGTTTCAGGAGACACGGCTCAGGTATAATCAGACCCATCTTTTTCATTGGCTCAAAGTGACTCGATGCGTAAGTTCCTTGTCTCTGTCTCTCCGTATACCATCAGGTTAGAACGTATCGGCCTGGGTGAATGATGTGGCCACTTGGTCCTCGCATGCAGGGGGTCTCGTGTAGCGCCGCTAATGTTTCCGTCATCTATTAGCCGTTCGCCTCTTATCTTGGTGCGTTCGTTCGTTCGCTCTGCCATTCATTCGTTTAGATTGGAAGCCCCGAACAGGGCCGGGGGGCTAATATAAATTACGATTACTATCTCTCGCGCGTCTAATCTCCGTCCATACTCGGGCCACTCGGTGCCGTGTTAAATCCAGGGGCAAGCTTTGTCACGTGAAAGCCCATATTTATTTGAAATTCATGAATATTTATTTAGACCTCCCCTATCTCCCTCCCCATGCTTATCTGGAAGGCGGCGAACTTGTAAGTCCAAATGAACGATTTGTTCAACAGTCTTATGACCTGTTGACGATCCCGTTCATGACTTACCGTGTATCAATTTTTCGAGAAATTTTTTTTTTCAAAGTTATATAATTTTGAAAATTTGATATTTCTTTTTTTTTTAAGAAAAATGTATAAGTGTGGAAATACAGGAATTATGAAAAATTAACACTGTTGACTTGGGATTGTTTCGGAATTTTTTGTTTTTTCAACGAACTCTGACTACGGTACCTTTAATTAATATGACGTATTAAAAATAATAACGCGACCGAAGGAAAAAGCCAGGAGCGAGAGCGGCAAATTCAATTTTTTTACACGGTCGACTGCGTCTTCCGCTCATCGGAGTTGAATAATTTATAAAATCTGCGCGGGGGTCCGGGTCTACTTGAAAAGTTGAAACAGCGCCGCTGCGTGGCCGCGGGCGCTTTTATAATTAGGCAACGAAACGAATTGCGTCTGACATCCATATCGACTACCTAACTCAAAGCTAACTAACGAGCCTTCGTTTGGTTCGATCGTGCGCCAATAAATCTCCGGCTCGTATCTACGCCATTATCGTAAATCTTTTACACCGCTGGAAGCCCGTGTGTTTTTTCTTGGATAAACCTTTCATTTAGCTATTTACATCCGTCATAAATCACACGGGCATACATACACGGATTTCAGGCAGTGAATCGTTTAGACATTACCACACAGTTTCGACGTCTCCACCGTGGAGAGGCGTCCCGACGCTACTCAGCCGACACAAACGGAAACTGTATACCTGACACTTTCACAAAGACTTTATACAGCCAAGAAATATATTTTGACTAAATAAAATCGTATGAATATCTACTACCAATCAGCATAGAAATTGATTCTCATTAAGATATAACGAGAATAAATTGATCATTGACGATCGTCAATGGCGTAAGGAATCATCGTCGATCAGTTCGGAAGAATAGAAA